TAACTCTTATTACCTCCTCATATGGACTAATCTTCTGGACTTTTCAGGCAAGAATCAAGGAAACTCTATTAATCGAAAGACTGAAGAGGTATGAAGTTCCAAAAGCTGAGGGCCCTGTAGTTGAACCTCATGTATTAACAGGAGAGGAACGGTATTACATGAAAAAGATGGCCCAGAAAAGGTCCAATTACGTCCCAATTGGCAGACGAGGGATCTTTGGAGGTGTTATTCTCAATATGCATATGCACTGGAAGAAACATGAAACTGTCAAGGTCATTTGCAAACCTTGCAAGCCCGGCCAAGTTCAAGAATATGCAGATGAAATTGCTCGGCTGAGCGGTGGGTTACCTATCCAGATAATTGCAGATGACACAATCATTTTCTACCGAGGAAAGAATTATGTGCAGCCAAAGGTCATGTCGCCCGTGGATACTTTATCAAAGAAATGGGTATGCTTCTCAAAACTGATCGAGTTAAAAGCTGCATATTCCATATGATTATTAGATTCTCAGTAACTCATCTTGAGGTGTGTGTGTGTGTGTGTGTGTTTTCAATCTGACACGCTTAAAAGTTGTTTCATTCATTTTAATGGTTGTTTTGGCTGATGTAGTTGGGTCTCTTCAGTATGCATCTCATCCTTGTGCTAGATATCTTGTTTTTCAGTATGCAGCTCATTCTATAATGTTTAATCTTCCACAGGCACTGGAAAAATCAAAATACGAACAATCACTCGAGTCCTTAAGACGTTTTATTGCAATTGCTGAGAAGGAATTAGAGCTTTATTACAGGCATGTTGCTCTATATGGCAGTCCAAATGATAGGGATCCCAACTCAATCCTTGATAATCCAAGAACCGAAAGTGGGTCGAAGCGAGTTAAGACTTATGGATAGCACTAATTCTTCAGTTACTGATGGTAGTGGTTATATTGATCGCGAATTCTATGAATACGAGGACGGAAGAATTTGTTCAGGTGATTCAGAAAGGATGATGATGATGATGTGTTTACTGAAGATCTGGATTCTGCTTCTGAACAGGAATGTGCTAAAGATAGGTAACCTGTTTTGTATGAATGAAAGTGATGCAATGCATCTTAAATTGGGTGGTAAATGAATGTAAATATAGGAAGATGCTACGGTCTCGTTATGGTACCATTCTGTCAGGGTTTGTGATGTAGGGAAAAGCTTGGGAAAAGCTTACGAGTGGGAAAAGATAAAAGGATACAAGGAGATACTCTCTCTAAAACACGGGATACTCTCCCAAAAGAAAACACGATATCTTATTTCATTCAATATTAAACTCCCGTACATTCTGGCCAGACTGCTAATAAATAGAGTTCAAATCTAGGAGTTCCTAACTTGTCAAACAAGTAAATAAAATATCTTCCTAACCAACTAATCAAGATAATTAAGGAATAATAATAATAATATAATAATAATAATAATAATAATAATAATAATAATAATAATAAATAATAATAATAATAATAATAATAATAATAATAAACATATATATATATATTCTTCATCATTCTCCCCCGGTTGAGCAGGATTCGGCCTCGAATCCGACTCGTTCATGTTGGAGTCGTCCCCAAGAATACCACCGACATTTCCCTCGATCGAACACGAATGTTGAACGTCTTCCAACAACCACGAACGTAAAGGTGCTGCCAACATCACTTTGTACAAGCCCAATGACCGCAGCTACTTTACAGGCCCAAAATTCGCGAGTGGGATGCTTCTGTTGAGGCCCAAAATATGGATTCATAATAGCCCTCACTTGGGACCAATAAACAAAATTGGGTTGTCTCTGCACAAGCCCAATACCCGCAACTACTTGACAGACCCAAAAAACGTTGTTGGACTGCTTCTCCTTAGGCTCAAAATTAATACAAACGTCGCCTTCTTCAAACGGACAAACCCCATCTTCAAAGCCATCATTCTCTGCACTCTGTACATGTACCATAGTTCTGTGAAATCCAAAAAATTGAGAACCCCCGTGCCCAGCCCTACCTCGCCGTGCGTCGCGGCCACCGTCACCGACGAAAATTGCAGCATCACGCCGCCTATCGCCAAAACTAGAATCAACAAAAACCACCGTTGTCAAGGGTTTTCCCCGTTGAACCTCCCGACCCTCGCTGTCACCAAAAGCAGTTGCTTGTTGCCTCCAATCGCGCTCTCCGGCCGTGGCAAAACCCTCAAAAGCCGCCGCCGGGCACTTGGAATCGCGCGACCATGGCGCATCAAACCAGCTGCCCCAAAAAGGTGTGCGACCTGGCGGAACGCCCAAATCGGCAGCAGTACACCGCCGGTCGCGGGGCCAACAGCCGCGATAACTGCCGTCGCCGAAGTCAACGGCTAGACCCCAGTCCTCGCAGTCGCAGCGCGTCTCGAAATTGACACCAGTCTGCTGACGTTCGTGAAAACGGGTCGTCTCTAGGGTTTCGCCCTCCTTTTGGTCGCCGCTCGGCGCAAATCTAGCGTCTGATTGCCGGTGGTCACTGAATCGGTCCCCGCACAGGGCCTGTTCATCCTCACGAGCGACAGGGATGGCGTTGTGGGGTTGGTTGCGAGAGTGAACAGGTACGTAACCATCATCACGCCTCGGTTGACGGTCGCCACAAGGATTGACCGACCAAGTCGAAACGTTGTCGTCGCTGCCGTTCAGAGGTGGCAGGGACCGCTGTCGGGGCGCCCCGACATGGCCGAGTCCTCCACAACCGCCTCTGTTTCCCCCGCGATAGTCACGGCCTCCATCGCGGTCCGTCTGCAATTTCGTATTAATCACGTTGTTCGGCGTCAAACACACATCCTCAATCCCCGTCGAAAGATCGACAAACAAATTCGTGAAACGCACGTCCAACTGTTCAAATCGGTAGTCGATCTGTTGAAACCGATCGTTGAAGGTTGCATCACTTCGTTTGTTTGCGGCATCTTGTCGTCCCGGCAGCATCGCGATCGTACTGACTGCTGATACCAACTGATGTAGGGAAAAGCTTACGAGTGGGAAAAGATAAAAGGATACAAGGAGATACTCTCTCCAAAACACGGGATACTCTCCCAAAAGAAAACACGATATCTTATTTTATTCAAGATTCAACTCCCGTACATTCTGGCCAGACTGCTAATAAATAGAGTTCAATATCTAGGAGTTCCTAACTTGTCAAACAAGTAAATAAAATATCTTCCTAACCAACTAATCAAGATAATTAAGGAATAATAATAATAATAATAATAATAATAATAATAATAATAATAATAATAATAATAATAAACATATATATATATATTCTTCATCAGTTTGTAATCGTCTAATCAATTATCTCTGACGGTTACATGATGATCTAACGGTTACAGACCCCTACGGAATAGTTCTGTAACGGGAGCTCAGCATTTCCCGTAAATATATATGATTGTGCAAAAGATTTGCTGAGATGATTCTGTTTATCAATATTTTGCTCTATAACTTATTAGAAAATACAAATACATTCATCTTAATATATTGATTATATTGCTATAATGAGTAATCAATTTAATGAAAACCACTCATTTCTATTATATTGTGATTGTGCCCAATCAATTAGCCAAAATTATTAGTCAACCAATACATTAAGAATGACACGATTTCATTTATTTAATAGCTCACCCTATATTCTTAATGATGTCATACTGAGTTTTCAGCAAAATTGAAAAAAAAAATGAATTTTTGGTTTTTTTTTTTTTTCATTATTGTTATAAGCTTTTTGTGCAAATAAGTCAAATATATATAGATGTTAATATCATACTAGGCTTGCATCAACAAATTTTTAAAAATTCATTAAATTTATATGAGACAATGATATCTAAAAATTACATAACTACTATTTTTATATGTATTAAAGATAGCAAAAATAAAAGTATAATACTTCATATATAAATATACATTTTTATCAATAAATTATAATGAGTCGACGCCTCTTTAGGTTAGTGGCTCCACACTATAACTAATGTAAAAATATGGAGATATGTTACAGTCTCGTAATAACCGTTAAATCATCATATAATCGTGGTTGATAGTTGATATGACATTTACAAATCCCAACGGAATTCTTCCAAAAATTATGAATTAGGTGACGTTAATTTAGATACATTTGGGCCCTTTTTTTTATTATCACCGTCCAAAAACCAAAATGAGCACAATATTTTACAGGTAAAAGCCAGAACATTCCATTCTAAAAATCACAGTGAACACAAAATCCTTCTTCCTCTCCTTCACACACTGCCACCTTCAAGAAGAGCGGAAAGGAGATCTATGGCGGCGCAGAGCCATTCGAGATGGTCGCTTTCCGGCATGACCGCCGTTGTCACCGGTGGCACCCGTGGAATTGGGTACTCCTCTTTTTCCCTGTCTTCTTATCTTCTCTTCTCATGGCACTTCATATCTTCATTGCATATAAACTGTTCGTGATAATGTCCACTAGATACGCAACTGTCGAGGAGCTTGCTGCATTGGGTGCAACTGTGTACACTTGTTCGAGAAACGAAGAGGAGCTCAATCAGCGGTTGAAGGAATGGGAATCTAAGGGGTTCAAAGTCTGTGGGTCAGTCTGCGACGCGTCTTCTAGAGATAAGAGAGTGCAGCTCATGGAGAAAGTGTCCTCTGTTTTCGATGGCAAGCTCAACATTCTTGTGAGTTACAACTTAATCCCCTTAATTTGAATAGCAATTAATATTTAGTAGTTGCACCTTATCTTAGTGGAAATCAAGGCTTGATTGCTACTTTTGGTTGTATATGTATATAGGCTGGTGTTGGACATTTTATGCTGTCTTGATCACTCTTCATTGTCAATGGCATGCCTTGTAACTAATATCTATTGATTGACTGTTCATGAGTCTTGTAGCATTGCACGGCCCTCTCGGCATAGCAGGCATACCCATCTTTTGAAACCGCCAATCGACATTTGCAAATGAGTGCATTAACTCAAGAACCAAAAAAAAAAAAATAGTGGTCTGATTGAGAGCATTACTTTTTTGTTTTCATCCCGATCAAAAGTCCAAAGCTAAATCAATGGCATCTGTTGTTGTACCTGTATTCAATAAAATAATGTCAATCCCAATACTGAAAGTGGTCAACTCTATTGATACAACATCACTAGAAGATGTTTATATGGTCCCTAATTTTCTACTTTCTCAAGTGTCTGCAAAGTTTTTAGTCTCGCCTGAGTTTGTGACATTTGGAGGTTTAAGTGGCGTCTTGTGTTCTTTTGAACAATTGAGAATGACTTGAGACTGATCGTACAATGTTCATTCCAGATAAATAATGTTGGGACTAACATTAGGAAGCCAACTGTTGATTATACTGCCGAGGAATATTCTACTCTCATGGCTACAAACTTAGAGTCCTCTTACCATTTGTGCCAACTCGCGCATCCTCTTCTTAAAGCCTCTGGAAACAGCAGCATCGTGTTCATTTCCTCTGTTGCTGGTTTGGTTCACTTGTTTTCTGGATCTATTTATGGATCCACTAAAGGTAAGTTACCTCATTGAAACTGTTACTTATCCAATTGTTGAATGACGGATAATGGTCGTGGACTCTTTTAAGTTTTGATTCTTTTGAAATGGATAAAGGATGTGGACTCTTTTGGTTTTGTTCTTGCAGGAGCAATTAATCAGCTTACCAAAAATTTAGCTTGTGAGTGGGCAAAAGATAACATTAGGGTGAACAGTGTTGCCCCCTGGTACATCAAAACCTCTCTTGTGAAATCTGTAAGTTTCATTTCATGTTTCCTTTATCTTCAGGAAATTCTTCTACCTTTCATTTCATATTTCGAGCTGCCAGTATTCTGGGTGGTCATATGACAGCTGCAAACTGAAAAACTTTGTCAGGCTTGATCATTTTGCAAAACAAAACTAATAAAATTATTTTGTTCTTTAGTGACACGCCTTTGATGTTATATTGTGTTCTTTTTCTTTATGTTTCTTTCTCTCTTTAAATTTTTCTATATGTTCCTATAGTTTTTGCAGTGTGTGGTAGGCATGATGGCGCGTTTCTTAACTGCTTTTTTTTTCATACTTATTTGTTCTCTCTCTCTCTCTCTCTCTCTCTCTCTCTCTCTCTCTCTCTCTCTCTCTC